AAAAGTAATGCTACCCACCATGCATCACAGTGGAATTTTAAGGTTGATGAGAATTGCATCAATTTAAGCGTGCCGGTTTTTACAGAACCATTTTGTATTTGTCTTTATCTCTTCTGATTTTTTTCCCTCAAATTTAAGTCATTTGAGAAACTGAGAATTCTTTCATTGGTCATTTTCCTGCTTGTGCTGATATATCTCCTGACGTTGGCCTTTTGAGTGGTTATTTCATAGAGAAGTTTTAATGCATGTGTTCCTTCTTATAATCTTTTTTCCTTGTAAATTTGATCACGCACAGGTAACTATTGAAGACCATCCCCACTTGCCTGGGAAGCATGCATCAGTGCATCCTTGCCGACATGGGGCTGTCATGAAGAAAATTATTGATGTTTTAATGTCACGTGGAGTTGAGCCAGAAGTTGACAAGTGAGTTTCTTCTCTGATACCATTCAAGAGAAAAATGAGATTCAATACTGGAAGTATGTCCTTGACTATTTCTGTGAAAACAGCTCAGTAATTAGGTTGGGGGTTTAAAGACAGGTCTGAGTGGTCCCCATATTGTTTTATCCAAATGTTTAGTGAGTTTCCTAATAACAAAAATGAATGTTCTCTACGTAAACCAGCCTAGTTTCTTACTTAGTTGAGGATAGTCACCAATCTAGCTGGGTTAAACTATCCTTGTCCAAGGCAGTTCAATTATTTGTGGTTCCAGTATATATATTTTATAATTCAGAAATCTATGGCAATAAGATCCAACAACTTGTATTTTAATAACATAATTGTGTTTTCATAAGAAGGAAATTTGATGTGATTTTCTAGTGCTGATGACAGACTCAGCCCTCAGACGTCAATCACCAGAAAATATGCTTTTCTTCCTTCCTTACTCTCTTTTCTTTAAAAAAAGCTCCTAGTATGCAATATCTACCAGCGATAAGACTTGTGCCATCTCTGGATCATTTAACCTTGATCCTGTCCTGCCTCCTATCCTGCTGTCACATTCAATGAAATCTGTGAAGTAATGTGCAACATCTATGGTGCATTAATAGTTTATTTGCTCAATTATGACTTGTTTATATGTTTTTCTACATTAGTTCATGGTTAAGGAATCTAGATAGCTATTCTACCTTCAAAATCTGAAACATCACCAACACTTGGTGGATACAAAAGACACACATACACACTCAACAACCCAATCCTTGTTATATACTCATTAAAGCATTAGTGGTTATAATGGGATTTATGCTAATTTTGATTTCTGAGAACCTCATTGCTTACTTCATACTATTTGATTGCCTGATCTGTAATTGAAACATTAAGTGTTTTGCTATCAAAATCTGAAGAGGTGAAATAACAGCAACAATTTCTCCAAAAAACTATTGTATGAAATGTAGTATATTGCTCACTCTTTCAGAGCTAGATTTATGGCATTTTGTTCTAGCTTAAAATTTGCCTATCTTTGTTTCAAAATTTCTAGTTCTGTCATCTTATAAATATAATGATTGATATACATGCCAATACATCTTTTATAATCTCCCACTTATATTTTTATCTTGTCTATGTGTATCTTACAATTGCAATTTCTTACTTCGTAGGTACCTTTTCTTATTTTTGAAATTTGTAGCCTCTGTAATTCCAACTATTGAATATGATTACACCATGGATTTTGATCTCGGTAGCTCAAGCAGCTGATGTCAGGTAATTTCCATAATAAACTTTCTCCTTTCTCATCATTGTTCCAACATCATTGAAAATTTTGAACCAAAAAAAAACTTTTTCGTTGGTGGTTTAGTAATTGTGATGCTTTGTAATATATGACAGTCAAACATTTTGCTTTACCATTATTGTTCCTGCTCTTCAAATGAAGAATGCTTATAAAAAGTATGTCAGTTGGCCTGGTTGATGTCGTATTATTGATAACATGTCTTATTATTGATTTACTCATTAAAGACCTTTGGTTTCTTGGCATCAGTTGAGCAGATGGGTTGTTTTCTTTTGTTCTTTACCACCTTGATCCTCCATTGAAGTGCAACCTTAGAAGCTTTTTTCTCTCTCGAACAGCATTGCTCTTGACTTATACTTTTTTCTTCTTGACTTGATCAAATTTACCATTACGGCTGTTCTTTTTCTTGTTGTATTACTGCCTATGGTCATAAAGTATTACCGGATTCCTGGCAACTTTCAGTGCAAAGGTTTAGTCATCCTGTTTAACTTTTTATTTGAACTCTGTGCACTGAATGATCATGAAGCAGCTAGATACACCATCTTTGTTCTGTCTACTATGTTTTAATTTAGATATCTATACATTATCTATTTATTGAATTTGGTGACAATTTTTAGATGATGTTTGTTTATTCTTGCCAGGCTGAACCTCCAGTAAATTCAAGAAATATCTTCTGGGGTGTTTGCAAACAATGTCCTGTACCCCTTCCACAACACGTTACTGCACATAAATCCTATAAACAATCCACTCATATGCCTTGTATGATCGGGCATAACTGTGAATCCTTTGTGATCTTATGGACATGTAGTTGTTTGTTATACAGTGTAAATGCACAGATTCACTTTGTTAGGATCGTTTAACGTGACACAACATGTTCAATAAGCCTAGGTGTGGTAACCTGCTCATTGCAGGCATGAATATGATCTTGTTTCAGTGGGAAAAAATTGAATCTTATTGTCAATTGTGTGATATAGAAATAGCTATTTTTCTTGGGGTTTTTATGTTTTATCGTGGAATGAGTGTTGAAACATAAATTCTACCTAAAATAGGTACAGTACAATTTTCAAAAAACCAATGGCAAAGAACTGGCGAAGTTCCAGGATACGTTCTCATTACAACTATAACAAAAACTAAAGCTTGTGGACACTGTGGGACTCACTCAGAGTTTACTGAGTGAATTATTTCTTTTCTTTTTTGGTCTTTAAACTTTTTTCTCTTTGATTTAGTCCTGAGCTTGAATAGATGGCCAATTGCCTTTGATTTGTTAATCAATGCTTAAATTAAAAGTTAGAGGATTAAAGTGAAAAAAGCATCTGATTTGTTAATCAATGCTTAAATTAAAAGGTAGAGGATTAAAGTGAAAAAAGCATGAAACATGCATAGTGGTTTTAAAATTAGCATAAAAGTTCATTTTAGCCTTTATACTTTTATAATATAGCTTTTTGGTTTTTCTCGGAAAACTCAATTTTAGTTCATACTTTATTTATTTTATTTTTTCAGTCCATGGTAATGGTATGAAAGAAGAATGAGAGTCATTGAATTATGGTTGTAAAGATAAAAAAAATATAAATAAACACTGATTTTAGAAGGCAAAAAATATTGATTTTAGTTTCATTACAAATAAGTCATCTATGTTGTTCTTTTATATTTCTTGGCCTAAGAAGTAGATATAATCTTGGAAAAGTTTTTGAATTCCAGTTGATTTTGAGTTTTTGTTTTATCTATAAAAAAGTTCAATAAGTTTATCAAGATTTATAAAATATATTTTTAAGTATTTTAAATAAAAAATAAGTTGAAAATTTAATTTTAGCACATAAAATACTTTTTCTCTAATTAGCTAATAACTCTTTAATAGTTGAAATCTAGAGTATAGATGATAGGTCATTTATGTCTTTTTTTTTTAAGTATTTTAAATAAAAAATAAGTTGAAAAATTAATTTTAGCACATAAAATACTTTTTCCCTAATTATCTAATAACTCTTTAATAGTTGAAATCTGATGATAGGTCATTTATGTCTTCTTTTTTTAAAATAAATAAATGATAAACAATGTGTTATTCACCCTTAAATTTAGGAGATAAAAAGGGTATATTGGTTAGAGAGGCTAGGTGTGTGGCCTGATTTTTTAAAAAAATATTTTTATTTAATTTATCTTGAGTTAAAAATAATTGATAAAAAAATTCTTTATTATTTAAAGATATTATTTTATTTCACTTAAAAAATACCTTTTTTATTTAACTTGAAAAAGATCGTTTTCTTTCCGGTTCCACACATATCTTACTTTTTTATTTTGACAAAAAAAAGTATTGTACACTAACATAATTATTATATAACTAAATAAAAAATAATATTAAAAAATAAAAAAATTTATTAAATAGTGAGTTTAATAAATTAATTCAAGTTTAAACCCCATTGCTAATTTTTTTATTTTGCATTTTCGGTTTCTAAAAAATCATTCTTTGTTACTTAAATGTTTTTTTGTTTGATTAAAAAAATTATTTTTTATCCTGAGAAAACACATTATTTTTTAGTACATGTTCAAATTGTTATTTTTAAAGTCTTTTTATTTAATAAAAAAGTCTTATTTATTTGTTGTGTAATTAAATAAAAAATTATTAAATCCAGCTCAAATCATGGCTTTATATAAAGTTGTTGTTGTTTGTCGTAAATTTAAATGATTAATTTAAATTAATTTAATATATAATAATATTAATATTGAAAAAAAGAAAATATTATTGACGGCGGCCTGATATATTTTTTTTTCCAGGATTGCCAAGTCAGACAATAAGCCAAGGTTTTTATTGTTTCTGCATATCCAACGCACACACATCACTGTACGTCATCCTCCACGGTGGAGCATGTGGTGGGGGGGGAGGGGAGATTGATGCCGAAGAAGAAGAGTCAGCTCTTATCCTCCTTGAATAAAATAAACTGGAAGCAACTATAGAAAATCACCTAAATCTAGAGTTCTCGATTGATGACATCATCAATGCTAGGACCCTGGAATCCAACGGTCACCTCGTCTGCGTTTTCTTTCTTCGCAAAGGCCTTCAGCGCCACACAGACCCTCAGTGAGGTCGGTTTGCAAACATGTTTTATTTGTAATAAATTGATGTATAAGATAACGGGGAGGTTTAGCCAATCGGGCTTTACCACGCAATCTTTTTCTTGATAAGAAGCCCAACTATCATTTAACCCAAAATAGATGAAGCCCATAGTCACTGCCACCAAACCTAACCGCCATAAAATAAAAATCAAATTCCATCCAATAAAAGAAAATCTTTAGAGTAAGTGTCCGCAGGTAACTAGGAGTCCTCATAAAGCAGAAACCACAATTATTGACTACGCATCTGCACTCTCCCCCTCCCTGGTGAAACCCCTGTGTCTTGTGCTCTCTCTCTCTAAAAATTAAATGGACTCCCTCCATCAAACCCCAAACCCTCATTTCCAAACCCTACAAGACCAATCCAATCCACCACCACCACCACCACCGGGGAACCTTGATTTCATCCCCGTTTACCCTAACCCCCCCCCTCCTCCTCCTCCAGCTGAAGAACCCCAATTTCCTGACCCCCACAACCAAGACAAAACCCTAATTTCAAATCCTCCACAGTTTTCCCCTGAAAATGGCCACAACCTCCAAACTACCACCCCAAAACCTGAGATCCCCAAACCTTTACTTTCCGAGAACGGTGTCGCCAACACTAACAGTGGTGATAGGGACTATTCCGGTGGAGAAGAGGAAACCACCAGTCGACGCCGCCGCCGCAGTCGTTGGGACCCACCGGCGGATTCTGGTACTGATGGTGGTGGTAATACTAATAATAATGATTCGGGTAGCGGTACGAGGAAGCGAAAATCGAGGTGGGCTGATGATGAACCGAAGCCGGTGATTCAGTTGCCTGATTTTATGAAGGACTTTACTGGAGGTATTGAATTTGATCCTGAGATTCAAGCTTTGAATGCTAGGCTTTTAGAGATCAGTAGGATGTTGCAGTCTGGTTTGCCTCTTGATGATAGACCGGAAGGAGCTAGGTCTCCTTCACCGGAACCTATTTATGATAATATGGGAATTAGGATTAATACTAGAGAGTACAGGGCAAGAGAGAGATTGAATAAAGAAAGACAAGAGATTATTTCCCAGATTATTAAGAGAAACCCAGCCTTTAAGCCGCCAGCTGATTATAGACCCCCTAAGCTTCAAAAGAAGCTTTATATACCTATGAAAGAGTATCCAGGCTACAATTTTATTGGTTTGATTATTGGACCGAGAGGGAATACCCAGAAGAGGATGGAGAGGGAGACAGGTGCCAAGATTGTGATTCGCGGTAAAGGGTCAGTGAAGGAAGGGAGATTGCAGCAGAAGAGGGATCTGAAACCAGATCCATCAGAGAATGAGGATTTGCATGTTTTGGTCGAGGCGGAGACACAGGAGGCATTGGATGCTGCTGCAGGGATGGTTGAGAAATTGTTACAACCCGTGGATGAAGTTTTGAATGAGCATAAGAGGCAGCAGCTTAGGGAACTTGCTACTTTGAATGGAACGATTAGGGATGAGGAGTATTGTAGGTTATGTGGTGAGCCGGGCCATAGGCAGTATGCATGTCCTTCACGTACCACTACGTTTAAGAGTGACGTGCTTTGTAAGATTTGTGGTGATGGTGGACATCCAACCATTGATTGTCCTATGAAGGGAACAACTGGGAAGAAAATGGATGATGAGTATCAGAACTTTTTGGCTGAATTAGGAGGGACTATGCCAGAATCTGCAACTAAGCAAACTGCTACCTTGGCTTTGGGGTCAAGTGGTTCTGGAAGCAATCCTCCTTGGGCTAGCAGTAATACTGGGGGTCTTGGTAGTGCCAATCAAGCAGGACTGGGAGCTAATGGGCTTAAACTTAAAGAATATGATGATACAAATTTGTATATTGGTTACCTGCCACCTAATCTTGATGATGATGGTTTGATTGGTTTGTTTTCGTCTTTCGGTGAAATTGTGATGGCCAAGGTCATTAAGGACCGGATCACTGGATTGAGCAAAGGTTATGGTTTTGTGAAATATCGCGATGTTCAAATGGCCAATAATGCAATTGCAAGCATGAATGGTTACCGCATAGATGGTCGAACCATTGCTGTGAGAGTTGCTGGTAAGCCACCTCAGCCTACCGTCCCCCCCGGCCCCCCTGCATCAACCATGCCTGCATACCCTGTTTCAACTCAACCACTTGGTGCCTATCAATCCCAGCAGTTTACAGCAGGCGGTCCCCTTCCGAATGGTCCACCCACCAGCTACACAGGGGCTCCTGCTAATTATACAGGAACTCCGGTTCCATGGGGATCGCCAGTTCCTCCTCCTTATGCTCCTTATGCTGCTCCTCCTCCTCCACCTCCTCCCGGGTCAGCCATGTACCCTCCCATTCCTGGACAGCCCATGCCTTCTTATGGCGTACAATATCCTCCACTGGTTCAGCCAGTTCCCCCGGGTGCACCAACTCAGACTGTGACGCCTAGTGAGGCTCAACAAAGCTACCCACCAGGGGTGCCATCTGAAAACAACACATCTGCTCCGCCTGCAACATCAAATGTGTATGGGCAATCTGGTGCTCAACCTGCGTACACAACAACTTCTTTGGGTTATTCATCTTACTACAGTGCAGTGCCGCCACCTGCTCCCCAACCAACAACTGGCCATTCACAGGGCATGGGTAATGTGCCTTGGGCCTCAAACTTGACTGTGCCACCTCCACATTCTTCTGCAGAGAAGACAAGCTATGGTCCAGATGCAGAGTATGAGAAGTTTATGGCAGAGATGAAATGAGGCTCTTTTCCAAGTTACTCCCAATTGAGGTAAATGAACATATCCATTTTCATGTTATTCATTACGATTCTTGGATTTTCAATGGTATGCATCTTGCACTCGACACGCACAGCTAGACATGGGACTTCCAGCCCTTTTAGAGGACCGGAGGCAACAGGAACTGCCCCCCCCCCAAAAAAAAAAAAAAAAAAAACATAAAAATTGGCCTTTTGTTCGCTCATATATGTTAAAATGTGATTGTAACTAGCACAATTCCCATTTCTGTTGACACGGGGCAGTGGAAATTTTTGCTTTACATTTCACCTCCACATTCTGGATTCTTACTTGACTTTTTGTACATCCAAAGGTGATTCAAAGGAAGGAGGTTATAACTTTTCAGTCTGTTAGGCTACCCTTCTAAATTTAGTGTAGGCTGTAGATAATCTGTAATTTCTTTTCGATTGGCATTTAATTTTCTATTTGGTTCATTGTGATATTCTAACCGTTCTCTTTCTTTGGAATGATATTCTTAGCATTGTCATGCCACTGTTAGAACATGTGATGTTCGCATGATGATTTTTTTGTGAACAGATATCACATATTTGTCTTGGGAACAACCTTTTCTAATTTATTTTTTTATTTTTCTTTATTAAATCTGATTTTCTTTTACTTACTAAAGAATGATAAAATAATTTTTTTTTTCCATATTTTCGATTCATTCTCACTTGGAAAAAAATCCATGAAGTCCACTTATCATCAACACATTTTCTTTTATTGCCTTCTGTCTACATTACTTGACCTTTTTGCCACCATTGAATAATTTTTACAGGACTGATGTTTATTGGCGCAACCTGATTTCTTACCTGTAGCCATGACTTTGTTGGAAGTTTGGGACTCACATCTTTAACCTTGCTGTACTGTTATGACATTTGCAGAGATTTGGGCTAGCGAGTTCCCACAGCTACATCTTGGAGAAGCCACTGAAAGCTTATAAATATTTATATTTCTTGTCTTCTTTATTGAACCTGATTTTTTTTTTTCTTATCGATGTTTGTTGCCTCCTATTTAATGTCTCATCACTAACTTTTATTTTTATTAGCTTAATTGAATTTTCTGGAAGAACTCACTGACATTTTTGTGTTACACTTGGTTATCTTTGGTTTGCTTAACCATTCTCTCTCTTGGCTGTAATGTTATTTTTTATTGTTGTGCTATTATTCACTGTTTCTTTCGAGGATAATTGAGGTTATCCTTGTAACCCTGCTGTTGAAGTGTCCTCTGGTTGGTTCATCCTATATTTCAGGAAGGTGGGCATGTCTTAGAATATGAATGCCTTTTGGGTATGTGGAAGAAGCTTTTCAATTCACGTGTTTGTTCATTTATTAACTTCTCTCCTGTTTGCTTGTAAGATTGTTCTGATATCTCTTCCTAGCTTTTACATGGCAGGTAACAGATCTCAAAAATGTACTGGATTTTGATAGTGATACTTTTATCAAATACATGCTATCAGATTTAGGATGTTGTTGAATATGGCTCCTGATGGAGCCAATTTTTCATGTGAATTAAGGGACTTATCAGTATTCTGTTTAGCTAAGTCGATGAAGTGTGATTTAGGGCCCATTTAGAGCTGCAGTCTGAAAAGTAGTAGTGTTTCAAGCATATGCTTTTGTGATTGCAGCCCCAAATGAGCACCTAGTGGATTGCGGTGATAAAGTTTGCTTAAAGGTATTGCATGATGATTTGAAAGCATTATTGTCCTGTTGGTGGTATTTAGTATTGTTGGTCACTGGGTGGATCTCAGCCTAAGAAAACATTTTTTCTCAGCTTTTTTTTTCTTTTTTTCTCTAAAAGCTTAAATTTCTGCCCACTCTCACCTTTTTTAATCTACATGTTCTCACATCAGAAAACCTTTCTAAACTAAACGTCTGTCATTTCTTCTTTACCCATTTGCACCCTTCCTGAATGTGCATCTGTAACTCTTTTTATATTAACTGGTGAGCAGTGAACAGATGGAGGCTGCCCATCTGATTTCTACAGCTAGATTTTAGTTTGCAGATTGGAGCTTTCTAGTAGCTTAACTTTCCTAACAAGTACTCATATTTCCAAATAAATAAAACTTTGTGGTGAATCCTCCTTTTTAGCTAGGGGATTGGTGTTTTGCTTAGCTAAATTGATGTGGAGAGACTGATTTTAGTTGCAGGAAGGTTCTAGAGATGTGGTATAATTGTTGAAAAAATACTCAATTATTTTGTAGTTAAGCTGTTTTACGATCGGAACCCATCACTCTGGTTGTTGAAGAACTCTTCAGGGTTCAGTGTTTGCATGTATTCAACTTTTAATTGCATCAATTGCTGGTCACTGGCATATATGTTTTCATGGCATCTATATTCATTTCTGGCTGTAACATGGCATTGTGGTCCTTCGTCTAAATTAGACCTTTTAACTGGGCATGGATGGGGTAGGCAGCTGCTACCTGTATATTATCAGTATGGCAACATATTACCTCATATATATATGCATGCATCTGCTTCATTTGCTAAATTTTGTGTTTGCCATTAATTTATAACCTTATATGTTCTAGCTGCAGATCTTTCTCGCCCACTCTTGACGTGTCATCTCCCTTAGTTTCTACCTTCCCCCCCACCCTGTCTCTCTCTGAACCAAGAATAACTGCCTTTTTTTTTTGTTTATCATTTGCTGATCATATGTTCTTCTTTAACTAGATCTTTCAAATGATTTTGTTGGTCTTAAAACAGATCATCTCAGTCTGTGCTGGTTTAGAGATGTTCACTGGTATGGATGGTGTTGCTGTCTAGGACATTGTTATTTTCTAGGAACCTGTCAGATGCTCAATCTAACTCCAATTCTCATATTCAGACTTCTAACGCATGGTTAAATTCAAGTTTCATCTGGTTTCATATGACAATCATTATATAATGCTTTTTAATTCTTAGAATGGCTTTCGTGTGATCTGATCTGCACAATATGGGTGTGATAGCTTGCTCGCTGAGGGACGGCTTGTGGCGAGGATGTTTATATTCCTTGATGTTCTTATGATTATTTTTTCCCGATGTATTTCAATTTACGTGCTAACTTTGTTGTGTGCAAGTTGGTCAGGATTTAGTTCCTTGAGCTGAAAAGAAGTTATCACAGGCATCATGGACCTGCCAGATATTTGGTGGTCACCGCCTGATATAATGTTTTAGCTGTTTTAGGGATGGAAGAGGGTTATTTCTGTGATCAAACCCCATATTCCGAATTGGTCGATATGCTAATTAGTTAGTCTGTCATATAACTTTCTGTAATGTAAGCTGTCACTCGTAATTGTATTAAAATATTTCATGGTTTCTGGTTCTTCGAGTTTATATTTTCCCGTTATTCCAAGTAGGGCTCCTCGCTGCATACGTCACCCTTCACCCTATATGATGCAGAGTGCTTGCGGCCCTCGTTTACTTTCTGTAGATACGTTGCTGGATCCCACGTGTGCTGCTTGGCTTTCCATGGGTTGTGGGTAATTTTCGTGTTCCATCGCCAATGAAGTCTTTCTCTTGACTGATGTGTTCTCGATCCTGAAGTATTTTTTTTATTTTTTAAATTTTATTTTTAATATTACTCTATCAAACTGATTTAAAAATAAAAAAATTAAAAATAGCGAAATGGTGGTTCTAGTGAAGTTCGGACCAATGGTGAAACCCGACTGTTTGTTTGGACTGAAACAATTCGTACAGGGCGGAATCTACGAGGAGGAAAACCGAGCGTGGACAAAAATGCTTGGCAATTTTACACAACACTCTTCCATGTAGTGGAGGTGTCGCTGCAGAGCTCTGCTGTGTTCACCAGTTTTTTGGTTCATGTTTCATGTAATAGTGGGTTTGAATTCTTTGATTTTTTCACCCTTTTCCCCCCGTTCAAATCCAATCGGTATTTGATCAAATAAACTTCTCCTGATGGGATTACTAATCTGTATTGATTTCTATGAATCAAGAAGGTGAATAAACTATGTCGTAGTCTATCGATTTTGAACTCGACGTTATTTGAATGGTGACAGGTGAGGAGGCCAAGATCCTTCTTGACAAATCTGTCTATTATTCAATATTAGAAATTTGTCTGCGGTTGGTGGTTGTATAGGGATCACAAAAGCAATCTATATAATGTGGCGGCATGGCACAACGAATCTTGCTCAGGTGATGAGCTGCAGTATTACTTGCGAAAATGTTACCATTCAAATGTTACAGTGGAGGAAAAAATTGAAGCAGACATTTAAGGGTCCGGCCTTCATCTTCCATCTCATAATTATTAAACCAGGCTTACAAATTAGTAGATTAATTCAGTTTTTTTTTAATCAAAATAACTTTTTTTTATTATTTTTTAGAAATAAAATAAAATAAATTTTGATCCTGAATGCTTCATATTCATTGTGCACAAAGTAAATTCAACTATTGTTCAAATGAAAGATGTAGCTATTGATAATAAACGTTGTCATTTAAAGTCAAAACCTAACTTATAGCCTGGGTGGCACTTTAGCCTCAAATGATACAAGCGGTCTGGAGTTACGTCCACCTTCAAGACAGAGAAGATCTACCGTCACCCCACACATTCCCTCTTTCCTTCTCTGTTTTTTTTTTAAAAAAACTGTGTCATGGAGTGTTTAATTGAGATGTTTTATTAATTTTGCCCAATGATTAATATTATTTAAATAAAATAAGCTTTTATCTATAATTTCTTATAAAAAAAAATGATTAACTCTATTCCAATGTTTCCTGCAGGAGAAAAACTATATTTTGTTAGCAAGTTCATAAAAAATATTATATCAAGTCATGTATTATTAGTAAAATATATTAGCACATTAATTACACTAATATATGGTACTTCAAAATAAAGTAACTCTTCGCTATCCTCTTAAAATCTAAAAAGATTTATTTTCACATGAAGTCATGGGAGGGTACTAAATGAATGTGCTTCATCCATAAAAAAATCTCTTAATAGCTTTTTTATGTAAGTTAACTGGTGAACAAAAATTTTATTTACTAAATGCTTTATTTACAACCCAAGATAAAATCTTATTTTTCTCAAATTCTTCATCTTGATTTTTTTAATAATTTATTGTCTTTGATATCTTTCCAAGTGTTCCAATAATATTTAAATCATTAATATACACAACAATAATAGCAAAATTATATTTTGACATTTTTATAAAAACTCATTGGTATATAGGATCATTATTATATCATCCTTTAAATAAATATTCGCTAATATTATACTACATGCATTTTCATTGCTTTAATCCATATAAAAACCATTACAACTTGATTGGTTAAACTTTTTTGGGATTTGAATTATATATTTTTGGCATTTTAAATCATTTAGGGATTTTCATATAAATATAATTATCAATTAATCTAAATAAATAGGTTGTACTACATCCATCATACACTTATGTGGTATTTCATGAGTTGTTAGATTAATAAAATATTGAAATGCAATTGCATTTACAATAAGATAATAGGTTTCATTATAATTAATATAGGTTTCATTATAATTAATATAAAACCTTTGTAAAAAAATTTATCCTACTAATTGTGTTTTATATCTTATGATTTTATTTTTCTCATTTAGTTTTTGTATAAATACCCCTTTTTAGCCAACTACCTTTACACCTTCAGATGTTTGGGCTATAGGTTTAAAAACTTCATATTTTATGAGTGAATTTAATTATGTTTGGATTGATTCTTTCTATTTTACCTAATCATTTATACATCAATATTCTTTGATATATTTAGGCTCAAGGTCCTCATTTTCATTAATGATATCAAGCAAAATATTTTATATGAAAGAATGTTATTAATAACTATTTCATTTCGGTTTTATCTTTTCTTGTAGAAACAATTATTTTTACTGTATTCAGGTGTTATCGATAACTATTTCATTGTGGTTTTATCTTTTTCTTGTAAAGACAATTATTTTTACTGTATTTAGGTACCTAAACCTCTTTCGAGGCTTCATGATTAGTTATATTTGTATCGTTATGATTCTTTTCCTCCTCAATAATGCCAACTTGATTACTTTCTTATTTTTTTTTTAAACAGATTGGTCTACCAGGCTTCTAGTGTGCTTTAGATTCATTTGCTATAATTTTATAAATTGTCCTATTAGGACTTCAATCCAACCTAAAGTATTTACAACTAGTATATAGAATTTAGTTACTCCTTTTAAATCAATGAATACATTTGGTAGCTGATTTGCAATGTTTTATAAGTGAAATATAAGTAAAACTTTTTTTTCCATTGTTTTATATGATGATCAAAATTTAATAATAATAATGCATTTCATGTAATATCTTTATCCAACTATTTAATTTCTATCTCTAATACTGGAAATATAGTCTTATAAAAATGACAATAGGCAAATCATGTCGTAAATGAATCATTTGTTGAGAGTTCAAGATATTTAATTATTGATAGGGATTATATTCCCAATTTTCTTTGAGGATCTATATTTATGCGTTGTGAAGAAATTGAAACATATACTATACATCAAATATTCTTATATGAAAAATATTTGGCTTATGATTGAAAACCAATTGGAATTGAAAGAATTCATGATATGATGCTAGCTTAATATATATAAGTGTTGGTGCATGTAAAATAGCATGTCCCAAAACAGAGAGTGAATTTTATCCTCATGAGTACTGGCCTTGAAATTAATTGAAGATGTTTAATAAATGATTCAGCAAAACCGTTTTGAGTATGAAAATAGACAACAAGATATCCATTGTTCATCCCAAGTGACATGTAAAAATCACTAAATACTTAGGATGTGAATTAATTAGCATTGTCAGGATGAATTTTCTTTGTTATATGATCTGAAAATTGCTTGTAATCTAATGATTTGAGCAACTAATCTTGTAAATGCCACATTACAAGTTAATAATAAACACACATATGATTATTTTATTGAAGTATTTATTAAAAATATAAAATATCTAAATGGTCTACATGGTAGGTGAATGGGCTCATACATATCACCTTAAATATGTTCCAATAATTTTTAGGGATTCAATCTTAATTTTAGCTAGTGATGATATAATAATCAATTTATCTTGAGAATAAGCATCACACAAGAATTCTTTAAATTAAAGAATATTTTGGTTTTTCAATGAATCTTTATGAGAATTCTCAATAATTCTTTGCATTATTATTGAACTTATATTTCATTATTGCATTGACTTTAATTATACTAGTACTTATATAGTATAAACTTGAAGATAAAATGAGTCATTATTTTAATATTTACTTTTTTAATAGAGACATTTAATATGATATGAAAACTATTGTTATTAGCAGTCTTAATATTGTACCCATTATGACGTATATCTTTGAAACTTAACATATTTTACATTAATTTGGTATAGAACAAAGTATTATCAATTATAAATCTTGTTTCCTTAGAAAGCAATATATTGTTCTTTTGAAGCTTTTAGTCAAGTCTGTTAAACTTGATATTGTATATACCTTTTTCTTTTATCCTTTTTAAATTTTAAAAATATTATCTATGCATAAAAATGATGTGCGTCGTTACACTATCTACTAAACATATATCTTCACCACTGATATTGGACTCATTTATAGTCTAATGCAAGTTCATGTTTTCTTAATTAGAATAAATAAATAAATAATAAGTTCATAAGAAGACAAAGTTCTTAAAGTTGCATATGTCAATTATCCTTTAGATTAAATAAGCCAATATGAAAGGAACAATTCAAATACATTAAAATATACTAATGTAAAAGAAATGCGCCCCAATGATTAACTTAAATTTAAATTTTGACATTCTTATATTTAACTAACTAATTATTATCATTACTAAAAATATTAATTTTCTCATTAGTTTGCTAAAAAAATCAACAACATCAAGATGTGTTTTATTCAAAGGGTCAAGATAAATATCATAATTATCTAGATGGGGTTGAATAAATTTTATTTCCAAGTCCATCTCCATTCTTTTCAATGAAAAATGATATACATCAACAAGATGTTTGGTACGTGACAAATATCCATTCATTTCACACTTATAATAAATTTTTTCTATCTTTTTAGTACCTTCATTATATATATACTTTGCTTTTTCTTATTTCTCCTCATTTTGCGAAGATTTATTAGAATTATAACCATTATAGTTGCAAAAATTAATTTATCTGCCTATGGCCATGTCTATGGTCTCACTACAACCATAATCATAATTATTATTATATCTGGTAGCATTCACTTTAAAGAATGGAGTTGAACCAGTCAATTGTGATTCATGAATTTTTATCTAAAGCTCATTATTTGTTCAATCACAAGGACAAGGATATATGAAAT